AGCGGTTCAAGGGACTTGCATTGGATGACTTGAACTGTGGCTTGGACATTCTTTGGAAATTCAGAACTGGAGCCATCAGGACTGTCCTTTCTACTCTCTATGCTGTAGAAATTGGAGGAGGCTGACACACACATGAAAGGGCACTTGTAGAAAGATTTAATTTTGGCAGGATAGTGAAGTTGCTCTGTGTCGCTGAAAGAATGGGCATCTGAACAAAAGGTGACAAAGCTGAAGGCAGACAAGCAGTACCAAACTTTCTGGTGTCTGCTAGATTAGATTAGTCCAAAGATCGATGCTGAAATATCTGTAGTCGCCATGGGCTGTGCAGCACTCAGGGCCGAACCACAGAGACTTCTTAGTCTTAATCTTTTTCAAAACTAAAGATCTTCTGCTGGTTCCAGGTGATGGTACTGTCTGATCATGAAATTCTTTTTTGCAAGAACAATTGAGGGCTGAGGAATCTGAGACAGGAGGCTTTGAGAAGTGTATGGGGCTGTGAATCGTTTGAGACTTGGAATTTCAGTGCGAGCCTGTGAAGGTTGATCAGCCAGATGTGGACATAAACTTCTGCAAAGGGCCTCTAATGAAAGGCTTTTCTGAAGAGCCAAAATAAGGGTAATATATCCGTTGACTAGCACCATTGATTAGGCAGTGCCAGTCTCAGCGGTGCCAGGGAGGAGGAAGGTTCCTGAGAGAGGATGGTGAAAGCTGCAGAGGGAGCTGTAGTGTTGGGCAGCATCTTTTCTCCATGGATTGGAGACAGAGCTCCAGGAGGTGTTCAAAAGGAAAATTATAGAGCTTGGTCTCTTATGGGTCCAAAAGTTAAAGCTCCAACAGCCACCTGTGGGAAGAGAATGGAACAAGTGTCCAGGAGTGCAGTTCCTCAAGACAGAAAAGGAACTTGTACCACTATCTGACAATGTTGCAGGACAGACATGGCCTAAATCCTGGCAAGTGGGGGGTAGTCATGGATATGGGCATTGTCATGTATCTTCTTTTTTGCATTCCAGACAGAAAAAAAAGAGGGAAATGCAAAAGAAAACTCCCATCCTACTTGGGAGAAGAAGTAGAAAATCTGTGCCAATCTGACAGTAGTGTCTTAGTTTTCAGACTGTTTCCAGGTGTTAGCCTGCTCACCATTCCCTTTTAAAGTGTAAATTATGATTGCCTGTCCAATAGGCCCATTCAGATATGATCTGAGGCTATTGACCACAGTCATTTGGGATGCACAGTCTCAGAAACTACCTTGTGTGCCTAGAAGAGGAACACTGAACTCAATTACTATCATATTGCCCAATTCTGGCCATACTATAAAACAGGTGATTATCTGTTTGCACCAGTGACTGCAGTCCATACAAACATAAACATGATAAAACTAAACACTGCTACCAGTAGATACCCTAAACACCATACCAATAAATCTAATTTGGGGAAATGCATGTGACATTCTACAGATCATCCCAAAATATTGTGGGTTCTCATCACATACATTTCAAGTTTTACTGGGAGTGGGGCTGGGGAGGAATCTAGTTCTCCATAGTAGTCCATAACTTACTGGTCAGGACACTCCCTTGGGATAGGAAAGACGCACTTTGAAGCTGTTTTCTACCACCCAATTTCAGATCAGACCCTTGAAGCTACATTTCTTACTGTGAAGGTGCTTTATACACGAGACTACTGGATGCTCTGGCGTGGTAGCTAACAATGAATTTGTTCATGGTCCAGCTCCAAGGTTGTGATGCACAATTCTGAATGAAGTGTGAATAACTCCTTAGCTAGAGATGATCCCTGTAGGCCAGGTCATATCTATCTCTTGAAGTTGTTAGAGTGTAAAACGATCTTCTTTCTTGAAATACTTGGGCACTTGGACAGACGAGAAATGTGGACTTTTCATTTCATGCTCATTATTACACTCATCATTTGATTTTGTTTTGTTTTTCTTCTCCTCAGCCTGTCATTCCAATGTTTACTGAAAATATTCGGGAGGCATATAGGGCACCTAAAGAAAGGAGTAAGAGGCATTTTAAATAATATATTTCTTTTGAGCATTTTTCACTTTTCCATCTCAAAATGCGTATCGCAGAAATGTGTATTCTTCCATTGAATCTTTCATGGTTTTGGCTTGCTCCTGATTGTGTGGAAAATGGAAAGTGTCCATGGATAGTCAGACACTAACCTGCATGTCTAGGATGAGCCATAGGCTGTTGACAGACATTCCTTTAAAGGCATGATAGGATGTGATGCACATTGCCAACAGTCATGCCTCCTGCTATGCCAAACATGTATAGCAGGACTGTGATATTGGGATCAGGGATCACATTCAATCAAGTCCTTCTTGCCATTGCAGGGGCATACTGGGGTCATGATTCTGGGATCCCCCAGCATTGGCAAGTTGAAGGTCGGGTGCCTGACAATCAGTTGGCTGGATTGAGACCACCCCAGGGCTCCCACTGGCCCTGGCGCACTCCCCAGAGTCAGCCAATGATTATTCTCCAGCGTGGATTATAAACTCTGGGGCTGGTTCAAGATCCGGTACAGTCCTAGGCCGGCCAGTCAGCCAAGACACAGCTGACGGTCAGCCTGTAGGGATATACCAGGGCTGGCTTGAGCCTCAGTGCAGACCTGGAACCAGCCAACAATTAGGCGATGGTCAGCTGGTGGAAACATACTCGGGTTGATTGAAGACTTCAGTACAGTTCTAACCCTGCCACATGCCCAAATTGGCAACTCCTCAACTTTCCCCTCTATTTATTACACATTTTATCTAATATTTTTAGGGCTGGTTGCCCTTTTTGGAGTGCCATGAATTGTTTAAATGTGTGGCTGGGGTGCAATTTTAGAATGGATTAACAGACTAATCATGTCTTCAGTTTCGACAGGATTAACAGACTAATCATGTCTTCAGTTTCCAGGTGAGCCCTCCCCCCCACCCCCAAGGCCTGTGGCATAATGGCAGGAAGAGAATCATTAAAGCAAGAGATTACTTTTACTTGAGTGGGGAGCACAGATGGCTTTGCCAAGGTGGGGACGTAGCTTTTGCAGGGTAGACTCTGAAGGAGATTATATTGTTGAAAGATCAGCAAGACATGAAGAAAACTCTGTTTTATATGGCCAGACAGTTTCAGGGCAAACCACACTGGATTAAATGGAATTGGGAATAACTCTGGGAGGTTATCCATCTTGATTTGGTGAGTCAAGTGGATAAAATAGTGATTCTAAGCTGGGGTGCTGGGACACTGTTAGCACTTGTTCTTAGTTAGCTTCAGCACTCTTCAAAGATTCTCCTGCTATAAGGAAGCAATTCAGTTTTGAGAAAATAAGAAGGTAATCTCAAAATCAGGCTTGCCTGGGACTTGCAGTTTCCCTGCCCCCACTGCCTGGTTGGTCTGCAAGGAGTTAAACCCTGTAATAATAGATATGTTAGTTTTTTAATGAGGTGCTGCCCAATTCCCACAAGCTAAGGAGTGGTGTCTTGCATTTAAATAGTTTGAGAGCTGCTGCACTGAAGTGCGAGTTAGTGCTATTGGATTATGAAGGTGCTGCATTGAAACTCAAGCAGTCTGCAATGCTTAGAGAGGGTAAGTGAAATAGTAGAACGTAATGAAGAAGGTTGTCCCCCTTTCTTCCCTTTTGGTTGTGAAGGAAACGTTTAATTTGGCACATTTAGCAGCTCTGTTTTTTTCTTAAACTTAATATATGGTTATTTCTCCAAAGCTCTGAGACTTTTTCTTTCTTTTACTCTAACACACAGAATTAAGTAGGTGGCTATATGACACTTATCGATTGCCAGTCGCCTTACTATTTGGAGGGCTTCCAGTCAAATTTCGCACGTACATTGGAGAACCCATTCCATATGATCCAAACATGACTGTTGAGGAACTAGCTGAAAAGGTACGTTGGTTCCTCTAGCATTATCAAATTGCCTTCTAGATCTTAATTTTCTCTGAGCTTCAAATGACTATTTAAAGCGCATTTATATCTTCAGTTCTCTTATTAGTTTGGACTTTATCTTACAGGTTGAGTTATGGGATACATCTGGGCTGTCCAATTAGTGGCTCATGGGGTGCCTGTGGCCTAAGAGGGGTTAATTTGTTGTTGCTCACCTCATGCCCAGGTGCTGCTCCCATTGGCACAGTGGAGGCTGCTGTCACCAGGCTCCTCCTTCCTCTGCCACCTTTTGTGTCCTGCTTCTGCTGCTGGTGGGAGGTTAAGGCAGGAAATCAGTACTGTGGGGCTCAGGGAGCCCAGGCTCAAGGTCCCCATGCAGAGGGGAGGAGGGTAACTGATGCAACATGGCACAGCAGGGGGGTGCCATTGCATTACACTGGCATTGCAGCTCAGCAGCTGGTGTGATGGGAGACCCATGCGATGCTTGATCCTGGGAGCCCTCAAGTATCCTAGATGCAGCTTTTGTGGCGTGCGGCTTCTGGTTACTTTGAAGTTGGGCAGCCCTGTATTAAATACTGTAACCATGGCCACCCCTGAAGTAATTGATTGTAAACTCTGCCAGTGATATCCTGTTATCAGGGGCTTTGGTGGTGGCTTTTTTCCCTGTACTACTTGAATTGCAAGCTTCTGCTTGATTTCTTGCCTTCCATATCTTGGAGGATCACTTCTGTCACTGTAAGTATGTGGCTGAAAAGAACAAGTGCTATGCAGCACAGTTATTAAAGTTTCCAAGTTAGCTGGTCGGTGTGTCATGACTGCCTAGCATTGGATGAGACACATACTTGAAAGTATTCTAATCTGTTGAAACTGGTGGCAAGTATTTGCTTAAATATCTATGAGGATCTGGTGTCTAGGCCCATTCACATGCTTTTGGATTTGTTTATTGTGTACGTTCAGGTGTTTGGCATAAAATCTGCTATTAGTACTTTGCCCGGACCAAAATCTGCCATTCTCTGGTTTATGCTGCTTCCACTTCTCTGGATTCTAAGCTATGTGAATGGTACAAAATGATGGATACTGGCTTCAAGTATAGCTGAGCATATTTGCATGAAATGTCAGATTGCTGTTCAATGGATGTTGGGGGCAGAATTTGAGAGAGGTGCCTGCTGCTGCAAGCTATAGGCTGACTAGGTAGAGTGCTGGCAATGCAAGTTAGGTTTTTTGGTTTGTTTGGGTTTTGTTTTGTTTTGGGTTTTTTTGGAGGGGGCAGTGGTGGGGAAGGGTTACTGGCAATCTGTGAGCTGGCAAGGGAGGGGTTTAACTGTCCCCTCTATTCCACTGGCAGAGACCCGAGCCAGGTCTGCTGGGCACTCTCCCCTTGCTGCTGCAGCAATGAGGCACCATGGCTCCTGAGGCAGTGGGGCAGGGAGGAGAGTTGGTCTCCCCTCTAACCCCATTAGCAGCTGGGTCTACCCACCTCTGCCCCTGCACTTCCTGGTCCCCCCACCCAGAGGCTGTGCCTGGCCATGCCCTGTCCCTGCTGCTGCAGCATGATGGGGCAGGGCCCTTGTTGGGGGAAGCAGCCCCTATCATAATGTGGGGGAGCGTGAGTCCCTTCCTGGTGGGGGTGCTGTGCTGCAGGGCCGACAGAGCTGTGGTGGGCTGCACCCAGCAGCACCAGGGTCTGGAGAGGGCCAGCGCCCTGCAAGCCCCCTGCAGCTCTGCCAACCCTGCAGAGTGCCTCGTGCTGCAGGAAGCCGTGATGGCCTGCTGGCTGTCATGGTCACTCACTGCTCGCCGCTTTAGCTGTGCGGTGGGGCCTAGGTCCTGCTGCTCAGTCTGTGCTTGGGGCAAGCCCTCTCCCCCAAATATAGGGAGCTTATTCAGCCGCTGACCCATCCCCAGGCTGAGTGGCGGCTACAGCCGGGCCGGGCAGACCCTGCTGTGGTGACAGTGGCCAGGTGGGGGCTTGCCCTGAGCACAGAGAGGCTGCTGGCACCACAGTGGGGTCTACCCAGCTGCCATCACTCTGTGCTCGGGGCAAGCCCCCGTCCGGCAAGAGGGGGCTTATTCAGCTGCTGCCTACTAGTATCACAGTGGGGTCCGCCTGGCCTGCCCACAGCCGCCGCTTAGCTTGTGCTCAGGGCCAGTGGCTGAATAAGCGTCCTCTTGTTGCGGGGGGAGGGTCTTGACCTGAGCACAGACTGAGCAGTGGGGGCTGGGCCCAGGCTCTACCCCTACCCAGCAGCTGGGGTGGCGAGCGGTGAGTGACTATGACAGACAGCGGCCCGTCCCGGGTTCCCAGCGGGGGCTGCTCTGCAGGGCTGGCAGAGCTGCTGTAGAGTGCGGCGGTGCTGCGGGGGGCTTGCAGGGCTCTGGACCGTCCCGGACCCCGGTGCTGCCATGCACAGCCCGCTGGAGCGCTGCCGGGCC